CTGGGTCAGCCTTGGAAGGTTGTATTTTTCTAGAAAGTTGTCCATTTCTTCTAGGTTATCCAGTTTGTTACCATATAATTTTTCATAGTATTCTCTCATAATTCTTTGTATTTCTGTGGTGTCTGTAGTGATTTTTCCTTTCTCATTTCTGATTCTGTTTATGTGTGTAGACTCTCTTTTTTTCTTGATAAGTCTGGCTATGGGTTTATCTATTTTGTTTATTTTTTCGAAGAACTAGCTCCTGCTTCATTGATTCTTTCTATTGTTTTATTCTTCTCAATTTTATTTATTTCTACTTTAATCTTTATTATGTTCCTCCTTCTGACTTTGGGCCTCATTTGTTCTTCCTTTTCTAGTTTCATTAATTGTGAGGTTAGACTGTTCATTTGGGATTGTTCTTCTTTCCTGAGGTAGGCCTGTATTGCAATATATTTCCCTCTTAGAAGTGCCTTCGCTGCGTCCCACAGATTTTGTGTTGCTGAATTATTGTTGTCATTTGTCTCCATACATTGCTTGATCTCTCTTTTTATTTGTTCATTGGCCTACTGCATTCTTATGGCAGGGACTGAATCTTAACCTTTCTGTACTTCTAGATAATACTTCTTTAGAAAAAAAAAATCAAGAATTTTCTTGAGCATCTGCTTTGTTCAAGACACAGCTTTGCTCTTATGTTTCTGTCTCCCTACCTTGAGAGGAGTATTTAGGACCAGGCCAGATCTGATTCTTCTGTGTCTTCAGGACCCACTCATTCAAGGTTTGCCAAATTGAATGGAATGGACAGTTTTTGAAAAAGAAAGTGAGGTGCTCAGTCCTAGGCTTTGGGAAGACTCTGACAGCCCAAGGGGATGAGATTATCATTTCTTCCATAACTGCCGATCCTTTGCACCAAGCAGACACTTTATACAGGCTTATGGGTTGTCAGCACTTAAAAGAGAGAAGATAAATGCATAGCCCCCAGCAAGCCCTTCTTTTTGTTACATTTGAAGTTCTTTGTCCTTAAATCACAGGAAGGAACTGTTGATTAGAGGAAATACCTGCCCACATGCACACACTCACCAATAGCTAGCATTGGTAAGGGCATCAAACCTTGGGGCTAGCATAGCCAGGTTCCTACTGGTGATGCCCACAGCCTTCCAGGGGACCTAGCTAATTGGCAGAATTGGTAGGCAGGAGATACTAGAGGTTAGAAAACATTAAAGGAGAGAGAGGGACAAAGAGCAGAAAGAAGGGAGCCTTTTCATTGTTTGGAATATTCTGTGCTTTAGAAAGGAAACTTTTACATTAATTTTATTGATGAATATTCATATGTATGCAAATGAGCCTGATAATTTGGGTATTTTAATGACTAATGTATTGCTGTTGGGGTATATCAATCTGCATGTTTGGTATATTTGTTAGCATGTTCAGCTGTGTGTATTTGTGTGTATATAGCACACCTGTGTGGTAGTATGGGTAGTATATTTCTGCACATGTGTGCATTTACATGTAGAAGCCCCAATACCCTGATCTCTGTGTCAGAGAACTAAGAACTCTTCTCTCAGAGTAGCTTGACATGTTTTTCCCACTGTTCTATAATCTCTTAGGTTTTTGTTGCTCAATATTTCCATGAGGATTCCTCACACTGAAATCAGGATCCAAGGTCCAAGCCACCTCTGAAGTAAGGCCAAGGCCCTACTGATCACTCATAGAGCTCTGACTTTTCTTCCTGACAGGAGCCAGCCCCCTGCAGAGGAATGAAATGGGACACACACCCTTGGATTATGCCCGAGAGGGGGAGGTGATGAAGCTTCTAAAGACTTCTGAGGCCAAGGTAAGTCTCAGGAAAAAGAGAAGACCTGTGGGCACTCCATGTTCCATTTAATCTTTCAGTCATTAAATTATGTCAGGCACCACACCAAAGGCCACTTCTCCTTAGGTGGTTATTGTCTGTTTAAATACAAATCTGAACCCCAATCTCATCAAGAAAAGGAAGCTGTCCCTGTTGTGACAAGGAAGAGGCTGGGCCACTTCTGGCTTCTGAGGACTAACCTTCAAATTCAGTTTTTGATTTTGTGGGTCTTCTAACTCCTTTTCATAGGAGAGGGGATAGCAAGACAAAATATTTAGTACTATTTCCCCCAGTCTCATGTATCTTGTAGCCTCATTAAGCAATGTGATCCTCCCTTCCCATCATCACTCTGTCTAGAACCATTCCCTGGCCCCTTCCCTTCACATACTCTCCAGGGAGCCTGGTGTAGAGTCTGAGCCAAAAAACTCTCCGTCTTAATTTGGTCTTGTCAACCAGACTTTGAACTCACTAAAAGCAGGCTGCCTTCTGCTCCTAGCCACTGAGCTGTAACTCAGGAACTGTTTGTCAGAAGCCAAGAACTAGAATCACGCATCTCAGAGCTGGCAGGGACCTCAGAAATCAAGTCCAATGATGGGAAATCTTACCAAAGCCTAAACAAGTAAGTCAGAGGAAAGTAAAGCTGTTCTAGCTGAAAGAGAGGTGGACCGGAGCCCCAGCCACCTGGCCTAGCCCTTCTCTCCTGGACAGCCTCCCTGGAGGCTCTGCTTTGGGGCACACATTCTATATTTCTGAAGCGTAAATCAACTGACTCATTTTACTCCAGGGGAAATTGAAGCCCAAGGGCATGATGTCATTTTCCTTTGGTCCCACAATAAATTAACATCAAAACTGAAACAAAGAATTTGAATTCAAGGTCATGTATTAGGCTTGGTGACAGGATTGAAACTAAAGTCTTGGTTTCTGATTTTCAGTCTTGTGCTCTGTCTAGCATCATGGAATCTCTTAGCTAATTGGCTGAAGTGCCTTGAGATGATTCATTGTGGTAGGTCCGACCTAGTGGCAAATATTCTTCGTGTCTTGAGTAAAAGCACTTAGGTCACTGGACTGAGACATACAAGATATGGCTTGCAGTTCCAGCCCTACTGATCACTGACGTGGTGGCATTGGGCTCGCACTTCCCTTCATTGAAGTTCAATTTACCAATGTGTGGTGAAAACATTGGACCAAATGGTTTCTAAGGTTCCATTCAGTATACGATTGTCTGTTCATCATAGAGATAAACTAGATTGTGCTGTTGTAACAACTCAAGATTTCAGTGGTTTAAAACAACATTTATTTTTGCCTCATGCTGCATGTCTGTCATGGGTCAGCAGAGGGGCTCTGCTCATTATAGGCCCTCAGGGAAGCGACTGGCATTGCAGCCACCCTCTGGAATGTTTCTGGTTTCTTGCCAGAGGGAAAAGGATGCTGTGGAGGGTCTTGCAAATGCAGTTAAATGCTCAGCCTGGAAGTGGGACCTTTTACTTCTACTCATCACTCACTGGATAGAACTAATCCCTTGTTTGCACCCAATCACACAGGGGCCAAGAAGAATAATCCTACAATGTGCCTAGAAAGGGGAGAACTGGAGACATGTGATAACGAGCATTAACCATATAGTTTGTGTCCCCCTAGGGTCTTTAGTAACTGTCTTAGTAACTGACAGAAACTGGAATTTCCTCCAGGGAAGGGGAAGGTTTAAGAAGTGGAACTGGCTTTCACGGCATATCCCAAGGGGCACTTGGGACCAGGAGGAGCAAAAATTCCAAGAGAGCCAGCACTTCCCTCCCTTTGTTCAGATTTTCCAACCCCAGAAGCAACTGTGGAAGCCAGGGCACCTTCCCCAAGTGCCTTAAGGAAATCCTTAAGCACGTTTCGGATAACCTCAAGACCCACACTCCCGTCTCACCTCCCCTTTTGGGCCCAGTTGCTGTTGCCTGAGAGTAAGCACTGGACTTGGCCAAGAGAACCTGTAGTTTGTCAGGGAGTGTGACACAGGACAGGTAGTGGTGTAGTCATGAAAGCAAAGAAGCAGGCCTCCCGAGTGCCGGCATAGGTGGGGGGGGTTAGGGCCGCTGAGGGTTAACAAAATTTGGCTACCCAAGAAGTAACATGATGTTGGCCACATTAGTACAAGGCTAGAGTCCCAAGTGAATAAATGGCGGTTGTATGCCTCTGTGCCCGTCAAACCGTTCTGGAACACAGAGGCAATCACAGACAGTATCTCCTGAGTATACATAGAGCTCTTAGAATCTGTACAGAGCAGGGCAGTAAGAGGGCAAGAGGTGCCATGAGAAAAAGCCAAAGGCAGTAGGGACATCGGGCCCAGAGAGGAGAGACTGCACACATGGCTTTGAGTGAGAGGAGATTCATTCAGTGGCAAAGCTAGGACAGAGCCAGGCTTTGGGGGTGGCAACTGCAGGGAGGAGCTCCCTAACAGAGTAGGTGCACAGTACAGGGGGCTACCTTTGGAGGCTAGAAGACCACTTAAAACTAGGCCAGGGTTCTGTAGCCTCTCAACTGGAAGACTGTTTCTCTGTTGTCAGCTCTCAGCACCTGATCCTTGCATCCTGTCTGTACTTCCTCCTTCTGGAATGTCCAGCTGTCTGCTGAGCATCTCCTCCTGATTGCTCTGCTGTCCCACCAGATTCTACCCATGTGAACTGCCCCTCCGCTCCCCCTGCATGTCAGTAGCATTGTATTTTTCTCAGTTGCTCAGCATCTACTAGGTTATCTGTTCTTTCTGCACTGTTGTTTTCCTCTAAGCTGCAAAAAAATACACAGAAGGTAGCCTGTGATCTCACTTCAAAATCATGAGGCAGGATTTCATGGGAAGAACACAGCTTTAGACCTGAGTTCTGTCCCCCTTTGCCAGTAAGTAAGCAGCAGTTATGCGTCTCCAGATTTAAGCCCTATATCTGTCTCAGGTCTAGGAAGTGCTGAGGCTCCAGCCTGAGACCTCATTTCCTGGCTCTTTGTCTAAACATGGGTCACCACCGCTCTGATCTGATCATACTCCCCTTCTATCTGTCCAGCATCTCCCTGCCACCTAGCTCAGCCTCCTCTACCTACATCGACTGCTCTATAGTCAAATATGTGCTGCTTATAGAAAATGTGTCAGTATTAAAGTCCTGTGTCTCATTATAGAAAAGTTGGGAAGTAGAGAAAAGTTAAGATGAAGAGAATTGAATAATTCAGTACATATTTAAGAGTAACATCTATGTGCCAGGCTCTGGGCTAGATGGGAAGAAGGTAGGTGGGTGAAACACTCAAGGAGTTCATGATCTGATGAGGAGACAGGCAAATAAACCATGACCCCACTAAACCACCAGACTCAGGGAAGCCCAAGTATGTGGAAGCCCAGAGGTGGCTTCTAATCCTGCCTGGGAGATTAAAGAAGGCTTCTCAGAAAACATGTCAACCGAGCTGATTCTCAATCTAAAACATTCTTGCCCTACTACCTATGTATAACCACTATTAATATTTTAAATTGTTTATCATAATAGTAGGTACCTCTTATTAAGTGCATCTAGGCATTATGCCAGTTACTCTAATAAATATTTTTTCTGATTCTGTAACAAATCTGTGAAGCAGCTCTTATTACCCCCATTTTACAGATGGGAAAACATGAAGCTGAAAGAAAGCAGTTAACTTATAGAAAACCAAGTTGCTATAAATAACTATTGGGATATAAATCAGAGATTTCCTCTTGTGATACTGCATTTGCCTTTCTGGACCATGTCTATATATATATTTACATAGATGGCCCTTTTTTGTAACCTGGCTGATAGCCTACTATATATACCAGGGGTCTCAAACTGGTAAACATGTTTTATTTTGCTAACCCAGAGCTTTTAAAGAATGTCAGTGTAATAAAGGGGTTGGGAGTGTGGACTCTCCAGGCACAGCTCTCCTCATGCCCCCCTCTCACCCCAATTCCCTGTTGTATTGTGTGCTTGTCTGTCAGACATTTATATTTCCTACTTGTCACTGAAGTTGTTGAGTTATGATCCTAGTTCCATATTTGGAATCTGCTTTTTTTTTAATTAATATTATTTTTTGATAATTTTCCCATTTAAAAATTATCCATAAATCTTATTTTTAATTTCATTCTGCTTTTTAAAATGTGTCACTTATCTAAGAATTTCTCTTACCTTAGGTGGCTTAAAGGATTTTTCTCCTCACTGCTGGTTTGCCCAGTTATCTCATCATTCTGTGTGCAGAAGCCTCCTTGGGCCCCCTGAAGAGATCCCGCAGTGAATGAGGCCCAGAGGATGTGGGTACAGGTGCTGTTAGCTCTGATACCCACAGACTGACTTGTGCCTTAGGAGACGTCCACACAGAGTTTGTGAGGCTCCACGAAAGTATGGATCACCTCCAGGCAGAATGAGCAGAGCAGGCTTTTTAGAGAAGGTAGCCTGTGATCTCACTACATGGAGAATTTAATACTTAAAGCTTAGACCATTTTCATGCCTTAACTAAGAGGCGAAGTAGAGGTAGAAATATATCTCTATGCACATGATGGCAGATAAAACAAAAATATGGGGAGCTATTCCATGATGAATATTCAGCTGAGGGGGATGTGCTGATGCCAGCCTGCATCTCCACTCCCGGAACTTCATTCCATTGAGACTCACAAGGAATTTATTGCTCATTTTAATCACACCCAGAGAATGAATTGGCAGGAATATTAGGCAGATAGGCCTATCACATATATTTTATTTGCATATCCCAGTGACAGAATCACAAGCACATTTCCTATCTCTATATTTTTTCATTTGCTCCAGGGGTAACTGGGGATGCAGTGTTGCCCTGGACCTGCATTCCAGGCTGCAAGCCTGGGTGCTCCCATCAGAGCTGAGGAAAGCCCTCAAGGAGAGAAGGGGTAAGATATGCAGGAGAGTAAGAGGGTTATATTCCTCCTGTCTTAGGGTGAAGAGATGCCCTTCCCCACCTTGCCCAGCCTGTTACCTGCTATCTCT